CACAGCCATGGGCGGGGGCAGGTGAACCCGCAGACACAGCCATGGGGGGGGGGCAGGTAAACCCACAGACACAGCCATGGGCGGGGGCAGGTGAACCCGCAGACACAGCCACGCTGCATCCTCTCCCAGTGACCCTTTTAAGTTCATTTCTACTGCGGCAAGAAAAGTCATTACAGTTGACACTGTCAGATAACCTATATTCCTGCCCAGTGCAACTTACTGTAAAGAACAGATTTCAGTGGAAATAATGGCCTGCGCCTTCATCATTAGTAAATCCTTACTTAAACTTAACTAATCGAACAAAGATTTGTGCCCACAAGATGAGCGAGAGCACATCTACGACACAGAGGCTTGACAGGTCAGGAGTGAGAACCTAAACGCTCATCTGATGGCCTTTCAAAGCACCCAGCACTGCCGCAGGAAGAGTGCGGCGACTGATGCCTGAGTAACGGCTGAAGATATCGACTCAGGGGAAGGAGCAGCGGGCTGACACTCTGCCCCCTACTGGGTTAGCTCAGAAACGCCGGGTGAAGCACTGCGCGGCACCAACAGATCTGAGATCACCTTGTGAATGCGGGACAAACACAGAACTGAGCTGAAATAAAATGGACAAACAATGGAGGAGGATTTTGAAAGGCAGAAACAGAGGGTTTCCTCTTCTCACCAGTGAACAGTATCCTGGCAAACTTCAAGTCATTTGCTAGGGACAGACCGGTCCTTCTCATCGACAGGAGAAACACTATCCCACAAGCGTATGACAGCTAGGGCTGCCAACTCGCATCCCAGCTGTTTCACACTGTTTTGTGTGTCTGAGCATCTGGTCAGATAAGGCCAAAAGAACATCTGATTATCACCTGAGCCCTCAGCCCTCACATGCGCCGGATCCACTTACAGAGCTGTTTCCGTAAGTGGACAGCCCTGCCACCAGCCCTGGCCCAGCTCCTGGGCGGCTCCCCGTCCAGCTAATTCCAGCAGGTCCTGAAATATTTCTGTGCTTTGCATGGTGCAGTGTGGCCTGTCTGGCTTATCCTCCATGGCTCCGCGGGGGAGGAAGCAGGAGGAAGGGGAACGAGCCCAGTGTAACGACGAGGACACAGCAGGCGAATGCGCACACGCAGACACATGCATGTGCAGAATCCTTTCTCGCTCTCTGGGTCACTCCAGGATACGAGCACTGGCTGCCGCACGGGGGTGGGGGGGCTCAATGCATCAGTGGAGCTTGCAAACAGCGTATTGGGCTCCACTCACATGCAAAGCCGGCTGGTCTGTAATCTCTCTGAAACTCGTGCAGTTTAATTAAAAAGCAAGGCATTTAAGAAATTAAAAAGTGAGAGAAGGAAAGCATGCTGAGGGGACAGAGCACAGGGGGGTCCGATAATTAAAGGAGTACATGACACCGGGCCGAACAGCCTTGCCCGAGCCAATACCTGCATCCGGCACACCCCAGTCCCTCATTCCCCAGCCAATCACAAATCTAATATTGCAAGCTGCTATCTGCCCCCCGCACCCCCCCAGTGCACAATGATGTTCATCTTTTTCGTAACGCAAAAACACCCCCCAGCTCCTGGGGCTGATAACATCCCTCTTTAGAAGGTACGAGCCTCCAACCTGAGAGGGCACTGGAATGAGGAAGCTGAAGAAGCACTGCAGCCTGAGCTGCACTGCGGCCTGAGCTGCACTGCGGAGCGTGTCAGGGCCCCGTGGCCCAATGGGCCCGGCAACAGTGGCGACCGGGTCACACGCCATTAGCACACTGAAGACCCCCCCCCCCCACAGGGACTAAGAGATCAGACTCGAATCAGGGCCCAGGCAAATTTAGCAAGTTAATAAAATCCCCCATTGTCACTCACACTGCAATGGCTAAATATCCAATCCGTTGACTGATGACCCCTGTACCGGAAGCCAATCAGTTACAGAGGAGAGAGAAGGGAGCCAATCGGAGGGACACGTTCAGAGGAGGGAGCCGGGAGCCAATCGGAGGGACATGCTCAGAGGAGAGGTGAGGAAGGCCTTCAGAAGTGTGTTCAGAGACACAAAAACACAGCGACTTTTTAATTTTACAAAACTTAAATTCTTTTTTGCTAAATGAACAAACAATTTAAAATCACTTTGCAAATCAGGTCCTTCCTCACAGATCTCGGTAAATTCATAAAAAAATACAACTATTATAACACATTTGTTAGCACACAACCACAGTCTGTCAGCCTGAGAGCCAAATCAGCCTCTGCCTCTAGAGACAGCAGTGAGTTTCTCTCCTGCTGTTGTCCTCAAATTGTTGCACTGGGTTTTTACACTGAATGTAAGGGCGGAGAAACATTGCCACACTCTGGTAAATAATAAATGACACAACTATTGTGTTATGTACAACCTTACTGAGGAGATACAAGGACGATAATTAAAACAGCTTTAACGTAACATGTAGGACTGAATCCACATTACTAGCCCTCACTCATGTACATAAAAACTGAAACAGAGCTTACCGAGCTCCCTACGTAAAAGTCACACTGGGCACAGGGGGTACAGAACCCTCACCCCACTGGTGTAGCCATAATATTCACAGGGGGTACAGAACCCTCACCCCACTGGTGTGGCCATAATATTCACAGGGGGTACAGAACCCTCACCCCACT